TTGGAAGATCTTTTTCCATCCTTTCACTCTTAATCTATGTGAGTCTTTATGGGTGCGGTAAATCCAAACATTTCTGAGTAACACTCTTAAAGAACACAGGGTATCATCAGCCTTTTACATCTTTCCAACTTCAAATAGCCAATTTGTATTTTCTTACAGTATTTGTTGGTCACTTATATTTCTTTTTCTCTGGGATCCCTTCCCACCTTCCCCACCCCCCACAGTGTGTGTGTGCACACTTCCTTTTAGTAAAACTGGGATTGCTTGAAGCACATTTTTTAACTAGCTCAGGTATTAAATTTTTTTTAATTAGCATATTGTTACAAATCATACTTATTCTTTATGCCCCTTATCTAATCATTCCTCTTCTCCCCCCCGCCACCCCCCAATAACCATAGACTTGTTCTCTTCATCTGACAGATTAACTGTTTCTGTTGGTTTGTTGCCTAGATGATCTGTCCAATACTGAGACAGGTATAACCTTCTCCCCCCTGCCACCCCCCAATAACCATAGACTTGTTCTCTTCATCTGATAGATTAACTGTTTCTGTTGGTTTGTTGCCTAGATGATCTGTCCAATACTGAGACAGGTATAATCAAGTCCTCCCCTATATTGTAAATCAGATGCTTCTTCTACTACTCTGGAGTGTGATTTGTGAAGACAGAGGATCTCTTTTTTTATTTTGGTCTCCACTGGTGCCTCTCCTTGTGTCAGTGCAGTTGAGAGTCTGGCATGCCATCTGCATAGTGGCTGTGATTGCTGCTATAGAGACTTGCTGTTTTTGTGGCAGCCATGGCAACTGCGGTGGCTCTGGTGGGCCACCCACGTGAAAATGGTGTTTTTGGTGTGCTCTTTACCTGGTTGCGGCTGGGTTCGGCTTCCCCAGGCTCCACGCCACGGGGCCCCGGGGTGATAGCTCTGATATTAAATTGGTTATATTTTGTAACCTGCTCTTTTAATTTAAACTGTGTCATATATGAAGACAATTTTCTATGCCTATGAGAGGGAGATGGTCACTTTCTATACCTCTGCATTGCTTAAATTTTTACAAGTATGTTGCTTTTACATTTTTTATTTCGGAAATTTAAAGAATGCAAACCATAATGTTACTAGTGATTTTCTTTGGATTGTGGGATATGATATCCAGGAATAGATATTTTTCCACATGATTTTTAAAAGCTGTAATATATCTTATCCTATGGATGTATTTAACAAACTTGCTATTATTGTATATTTTGGTTATTTCTATTTTTTGCTCTTGTACATAATACTCTGATGAACATTTCTATACATAATTCATCATGCATAATTTTTTTTTTGGTGGCTGGCCAGTAAGGGGATCTGAACCCTTGACCTTGGTATTACACTGCACTCTTACCAACTGAGCTAATTGGCCAGTCTCGTCATGCATAACTGTAATTATTTCCTTTGGATACATTTCTAGGTGTAAAATTGCTAAGTTAAATATATTTATTTATTTTTTGGCAGCTCGCCAGTATGGGGACTAAGTTAAATACAAAGCTTTGATGTATGTTACCAAACTGCCTCAAAAAAGGTTGTATTAAACAAATTCTGATTTGGATACTGAAGCAATTATTTCCCATGAGTGGTAAGTTCTAGGAAACTTAATCTAAAATAAAACTCAATGCAACCAGCTTCCAATTAAACTGTGTATACATTATTCATTTTGTACATTATCACATGCAAAATATATTTTACTCTCTGTATTGTAGCTAGGATGTTTCTGATTCTCCATAAATTAGCATGTGCTCAGAGAATGGAAAATGTGGGAAACTTTAAAATAAGCTGAAATACAATATATTTTGGAAGATGGTACTGACTGGATAGATATTACGTAATGCAGAGCAAATAAGTTGTGAATTATCTATTAATTTATATCTCACATTATTGAGTGCTAATTAATTTATTCTCAGAAAACTAAATTTTTATACTTTATACTTATACTTACAGTTTTGTCTTTCACATTCCAAAACACAGCAGCTCCTTCCCTGATTTGGAAAAACAAAATAATCAACTAAGTTAAAGGAAGAATACATTCTTTATGGTCACACACAAAGTCATGCTTAGGTAACTTCTAGAATGTATCCAGGATACAATTTTTGAAAATATGATTTATTTACTGTTATGACATTATGGTCCTTAGATGGACTTGCTAAAATAAGAGGAACTTTTTTGGTTCTTGATAAAACCTGACCTCGAAAAAATTCATGATTTCTCACATGGTTTATAAAATAAATAGCCATTACTGTGATACTATATAACTTACTGTATCTAGACTCTTTCATACCTGGTTCAATTCTGATGTACAGAAATCAAAATAAGAAAAGTTTTTGAGACTCCATCTTAGCTCTCATTAGGCAGAGACTGCTATGGGCAAAGAATAAAGGACCATGCTTTTAATAGTTGTGGAATAAAGAGACTGAGATAAATTAAAGCCTTCAATGGCTAAAAGCCTCTATGGAATAATGCCACCCATCCTTACAGTGCTTAGAACAGAACTATAATAAAGCTATAGGAGGCTCTCTGAATCCAATTCTGGCTTTGACAGAATTTAAGGTCTAAAAATGATAAATGAGCTTGTTTTGATTTATGAAGTTTGACATATCAAGCTGTTTTAGGAAGCAAACAAAAAGGGGAATTATGGCTCTGGATCATTGTGCTGGAGGAAGGAAAGGTGGAAATGGAAGGAAAAACATGATGGCCCCGTATCATTCTTTAAACATTTCTAAGTATAGTGCTTAGTAGATGTGTGAGTCTGTACTTAGCATCTGGGATAAAAATATGAGTATGATCCACTTCCTTTCTCAAGGAACTCCCAATCTAGAAGACTGACACTTATACCACCTATTACAACAGTGTATGACCAGTGCCATAAAAGTTATGCAGAGAATACTATAGGATGTACACCAGAGGGACACCTCTCTTAAAGGACTAGCAGAGCTAGCTAAATGAGAAAACGAGACAACACAGCAGAGGGAAAAGCACAGGTCCAGGGAGAAGGTGGGAGGGAGCAGGGAGGTGTCTCAGAATAAACAGTAGTAGTTGCATGGCTGTGGATGTGTTCAAGTAGTGGGTAATCAGGTTAAAGGCAAGCAGGAGTCAACCCCTGAAGGAAACTCATGCTGTGATAGACAGTTTGGTCAGATTCCATGGAATTTTAAGCAGGAGAGTGTAGTGATCAGAACTGCTTATTGCAGAATGACCCTGCTCACAAGAGACAAACAGACTGGTGGTGGGGTGAGCAGGCAGGCAGGGAGACCAGTCGGTAAGCTGCTGCAATAGGCCAGGACAGGGTCACAGGACATGGATTTGAGAGGTATTTAAAGCCACAGTATCGGTTTGGGGAATCGCTTCTAGGCAGAAGAGAGGTCTAGTGACTTGTGCATCCCTCCTCCATCTAGACCCATGCTGTGTGTTATGGTGCTCAGAAGCCACAGGTGGCTATTGAGCACTTGAAATATGCCTGGTGCAAACTGAGATGTGCCGTACCTGTAAAATACACAGCAAATTTCAAAGACTTGGTATGAAAAGAAGAGTGGGAACAATCTCACTAATTAATTACATGTTGAAATGCTATTTTAGATATGTTGGATTAAATAAAGCACATTATTAAAATTAATTTCAGGGAACATATATTACTGTTAGTATTGTTCAAAATTAATTTCATCTTTAAAAAAGATTTTTTAAAATGTGGTTACTGGAAAATGTATCATTTCACACGAGGCTTGCATTGTACTTCTACTGAACTGTGCCAATCTAGAGGTCCTTAGAAATCTAAACTCCTCACTTGAATCATCAGGGTTGCTATTATTCTACTTGGACTAAGTGTTGGAATCTTCATTACGTCTAAAGTTAGGGTCAAAAGGAAGGTAGGCATTGACAGGAACAAAGATGGGGCTTTCAATTATCATCCACTAAGGACTAAGACCACAAAAAACTTTATTGAAGTTTGGACTCTTATGGATGCGCCATGTGTTTCTATTCTGCCACATATTAGTCCCATGACTATGTGTAATTCACTTAATCCCTGTGACCCTCAGTTTCCCCAGCTGCAAAATGGGAATAACAGACCTTCCTCAGAGTGATGAGGATAATATGAAATTATTTTACATGTTCATTATTATCATTACATTCCCAGTCAGCTACTCTGGAATATGTGGTATTAAGACAACCTTTAAATATAAGGAATAAGTGTGTGTGAGTCACAGCCCCAGTCTGAAGTCTCTGGAGAGGTAAAAACTTTAGCTAAAGAGTTGCAGAAAGGGAAGAAAGGAAAGGAAAAAAATGGCAAGGAAGAAAAGACAGCGGGGATGTAGCATGGGTGATAAGGGACGGTAAAGATGAGTGAGAAACAGGAGCTTTACGTAAACTTATTTAATGAAAATCCATATTTATGGGCTGCCCCGGTGGCGCACTGGAGAGTGCACCGCTTGGGAGTGCGGTGTTAGTATTGTTCAAAATTAATTTCATCTTTAAAAAAGATTTTTTAAAATGTGGTTACTGGAAAATGTATCATTCCACACGAGGCTTGCATTGTACTTCTACTGAACTGTGCCAATCTAGAGGTCCTTAGAAATCTAAACTCCTCACTTGAATCATCAGGGTTGCTATTATTCTACTTGGACTAAATGTTGGAATCTTCATTACGTCTAAAGTTAGGGTCAAAAGGAAGGTAGGCATTGACAGGAACAAAGACGGGGCTTTCAATTATCATCCACTAAGGACTAAGACCACAAAAAACTTTATTGAAGTTTGGACTCTTATGGATGCGCCATGTGTTTCTATTCTGCCACATATTAGTCCCATGACTATGTGTAATTCACTTAATCCCTGTGACCCTCAGTTTCCCCAGCTGCAAAATGGGAATAACAGACCTTCCTCAGAGTGATGAGGATAATATGAAATTATTTTACATGTTCATTATTATCATTACATTCCCAGTCAGCTACTCTGGAATATGTGGTATTAAGACAACCTTTAAATATAAGGAATAAGTGTGTGTGAGTCACAGCCCCAGTCTGAAGTCTCTGGAGAGGTAAAAACTTTAGCTAAAGAGTTGCAGAAAGGGAAGAAAGGAAAGGAAAAAAATGGCAAGGAAGAAAAGACAGCGGGGATGTAGCATGGGTGATAAGGGACGGTAAAGATGAGTGAGAAACAGGAGCTTTACGTAAACTTATTTAATGAAAATCCATATTTATGGGCTGCCCCGGTGGCGCACTGGAGAGTGCACCGCTTGGGAGTGCGG